CCCATAGCGGTCAGAGGAAATTGCGGGGTACATAGTGAAATATTCAAAGTTAATGCTCCCACCGTAAATAATCCGTCTAACTTCTACACTGACCGAAATAACGCAGGCGCAAGCAGTAGTGCAGCCAGTGCCTCAAGCGCGGCAAGTTCGGCAAGTGCGGCCAGTTCTGCAGCGTCAAGTGCGGCCAGTTCTGCAGCGTCAAGTGCGGCCAGTTCGGCAGCGTCAAGTGCGGCCAGTTCTGCGGGAGCATCGAGTGCTTCTAGTTCTTCTAGCTCAGCTAGCTCGTCCAGTTCGTCAAGTTCATCCACCTCATCAAGTTCATCGAGTTCGTCCAGTTCATCATCGTCTTCAAGTAGTGGAAGTGGAACTGGCTCAGGTTCTGGAGGTGGGTCTGGAAATAGCGGCGGTTCAGGCACAGGAGGCAGTAGCGGAACAGGTTCTGGATCTGGTAGCGGAAACGGTCAAGGCTCTGGTAGCGGAATTGGAAATGGCAGCGGGTCTGGGAGTGGAATTGGTAATGGAAATGGATCCGGATCTGGAAGCGGAAATGGGTCAGGTACTGGGAGCAGTACAGGTCAAGGCAGTGGTTCCGGTAGCAGTTCTGGAACCGGTAGTGGTAGTGGTCAAGGAAGTGGATCTGGAACGGGAAATGGAACTGGTACAGGTACGGGCAGCGGAAACGGTGACGGTTCTGGAAGTGCAATAGGGTCAGGAGCCGGGAGCAGCAATAGCGAAGGAAGTGGGTCTGGAATGGGAAGTGGTAGCAGCTCGGGGTCTGGACACGGCAGCGGAAGTGGAACTGGTTCAGGAAATGGTAATGGAAGTGGATCGGGGTCTGGAAGTGGCGATGGTAGCGGTTCAGGAAGTGGGACAGGAATAGGTACAGGAAGCAACAACAGTCAAGGAAGCGGTTCCGGAACGGCTGTTGGAACTGGATCAGGATCTGGAGGCGGCAGTAGTATCGGTACCGGCAGTGGCCAAGGCAACGGATCGGGATCAGGTAGTAGTAACGGAAACGGATCAGGGTCTGGTAGTGGGTCAGCGAATGGTGCTGGCAGCGGAACAGGGGAAGGATCTGGCAATGGACATGGGTCTGGATCAGGAAGTGGATCCGGTACAGGAGATGGCGCTGCCACAGGAACTGGATCAGGTTCCGCAAGTGGTGAACCAGGACAGCAAGGCCAGCCTGGACAATCTAGCCAACCTGCTCCAGGCCAAGCTAGCCAAATCAGACACTGCCAGGCGGAAGGTTTCTTTCCTGATAAAAATAACTGTTCAAAGTTTTATCGATGCGTGAAAAGAGAAAACGGTTTTCTGGTCTATGAATTTACTTGCGGAGATAAAACGGTGTGGGATCAGGCGTCTCAATCATGCAATCATCCTTGGGCGGTGTATGGAAAATGCGGTACGGCATCTGAACAGGGGCAACCCGGTCAACCTGGCCAGCAAGGACAACCCGGTCAACCTGGACAGCAAGGCCAACCAGGTCAACCCGGACAATCTGGCCAACCAGGTCAACAAGGTCAGCCAGGACAACCTGGCCAACCAGGTGAACACGGTCAACCAGGTCAGCCAGGACAACCCGGCGAACCTGACCAGCCCGGTCAGGTCCAACCAGGACAACCCGGTCAACCTGGTCAACCCGGCCAATCTGGACAACCAGGACAACCCGGTCAACCCGGCCAATCTGGACAACCAGGCCAGCCCGGCCAACAGGGTCAACCAGGCCAGCCCGGCCAACAGGGTCAACCAGGACAACCCGGCCAATCTAGCCAAACAGGTCTGCCAGGACAACCCGGACCACCAGGGCAACCCGCCCCAAGTCACACTAACCCAATCAGACATTGTCATACAGAAGGTTTTTTCCCTGATGAAAACAACTGTGCAAAGTTTTATCGTTGCGTAAAAGGTGAAAACGCTTTTCTGGTGTATGAATTTACTTGCGGAGATAATACCGTATGGGATCAGGCCTCGCAATCGTGCAATCATCCTTGGGCGGTGTATGGAAAATGCGGTACGGCATCTGAACCAAATCAAAGTGGACAACAGGGACAACCTGGTCAACCTAGCCAGCAAGGACAACCCGGTCTACCTGGCCAACCCGGTCAACAAGGTCTGCCAGGCCAACACGGCGAACCTGGCCAGCCCGGTCAGGGCCAACCAGGACAACCCGGTCAACCAGGTCAGCCAGGTCAAGGGCAGCCAGGGCAACCCGGACAACCTGGCCAACCAGGTCAACAAGGTCAGCCAGGTCAAGGGCAGCCAGAGCAATCAGGACAACCCGCTCAACCTGGCCAACCAGGTCAACAAGGTCAGCCAGGACAACCCGGTCAACCTGGCCAACCCGGTCAAGGGCAGCAAGGACAACCCGGCCAACCAGGTCAACAAGGTCAGCCAGGACAACCCGGCCAACCTGGCCAGCCCGGTCAGGGCCAACCAGAACAACCCGGTCAACCTGGCCAACCAGGTCAACAAGGGCAGCAAGGACAACCCGGCCAACCCGGTCAACCTGGCCAACCAGGACAACCCGGTCAACCTGGCCAACCAGGACAACCCGGACCACCAGGACAACCCGCTCCAGGTCAAGCTAACCCAATCAGACATTGTCATACAGAAGGTTTTTTCCCTGATGAAAACAACTGTGCAAAGTTTTATCGTTGCGTAAAAGGAGAAAACGCTTTTCTGGTGTATGAGTTTACATGCGGAGATAATACGGTATGGGATCAGGCCTCGCAATCATGTAATCATCCTTGGGCGGTGTATGGAAAATGCGGTACGGCATCTGAACCAAATCAAGGTGCACAACAGGAGCAACCAGGTCAACCTGGCCAGCAAGGGCAACCCGGTCAACCTGGCCAACCAGGACAGCCAGGTCAAGGGCAGCCAGGGCAACCAGGACAACCCGGTCAGCCAGGACAACCCGGCCAATCTGGCCAACCAGGTCAACAAGGTCAGCCAGGACAACCCGGTCAACCGGGCCAACCAAGTCAGCCAGGACAACCCGGTCAATCTGGCCAACCAGGTCAACAAGGTCAGCCAGGACAACCCGGTCAACCGGGCCAACCAGGTCAACAAGGTCAGCCCGGTCAAGGGCAGCCAGGGCAACCAGGACAACCCGGTCAACCTGGCCAACCAAGTCAGTCAGAACAACCCGGTCAACCTGGCCAACCAGGTCAACAAGGTCAGCCAGGTCAAGAACAGCCAGGGCAACCAGGACAACCCGGTCAACCTGGCCAACCAAGTCAGCCAGGACAACCCGGTCAACCTGGCCAATCAGGTCAACAAGGTCAGCCAGGTCAAGGGCAACCAGGACAACCCGGCCAACCAGGACAACCCGGCCAACCAGGACAACCCGGTCAACCTGGCCAACCAAGTCAGACAGAACAACCCGGTCAACCTGGCCAACCAGGTCAACAAGGTCAGCCAGGTCAAGGGCAGCCGGGACAACCCGGTCAACCTGGCCAACCAAGTCAGCCAGGACAACCCGGTCAACAAGGTCAGCCAGGGCAACCAGGTCAACCTGGCCAATCAGGACAACCCGGTCAACCAGGTCAGCCAGGACAACCCGCTCCAGGCCAAGCTAACCCAATCAGACATTGTCATACAGAAGGTTTTTTCCCTGATGAAAACAACTGTGCAAAGTTTTATCGTTGCGTAAAAGGAGAAAACGCTTTTCTGGTGTATGAGTTTACATGCGGAGATAATACGGTATGGGATCAGGCCTCGCAATCATGCAATCATCCTTGGGCGGTGTATGGAAAATGCGGTACGGCATCTGAACCAAATCAAGGTGGACAACACGGTCAATCAGGCCAGCCCGGTCAAGGGCAGCCAGGGCAACCAGGACAACCCGGTCAACCTGGCCAACCAAGTCAGCCAGGACAACCCGGTCAACCGGGCCAACCAGGTCAACAAGGTCAGCCAGGTCAAGGGCAACCAGGACAACCCGGTCAACCTGGCAACAACCAAGTCAGCCAGGACAACCCGGTCAACCGGGCCAACCTGGCCAACCAAGTCAGCCAGGACAACCCGGTCAACCTGGCCAACCAGGTCAACAAGGTCAGCCAGGTCAAGGGCAACCAGGACAACCCGGTCAACCTGGCCAACCAAGTCAGCAAACCCGGTCAACCTGGCCAACCAGGTGGCCAACCAGGTCAACAAAAGGTCAGCCAGGTCAAGGGCACCAGGGACAACCCGGTCAACCTGGCCAACCAAGTCAGCCAGGACAACCCGGTCAACCTGGCCAAACCAAGGTCAACAAGGTCAGCCAGGTCAAGGACTGCCAGGGCAACCAGGACAAGCCGGTCAACCTGGCCAACCAAGTCAGCCAGGACAACCCGGTCAACCGGGCCAACCAGGTCAAGGGCAGCCAGAGCAACCAGGACAACCCAGTCAACCTGGCCAACCAGGACAACCCGGTCAACCTGGCCAACCAAGTCAACCAGGACAACCCGGTCAACCTGGCCAACCAGGTCAACAAGGTCAGCCAGGTCAAGGGCAACCAGGACAACCCGGTCAATCTAGCCAACCAGGACAACCCGGTCAACCTGGCCAACCAAGTCAGCCAGGACAACCCGGTCAACCTGGCCAACCAGGTCAACAAGGTCAGCCAGGTCAAGGACAGCCAGGGCAACCAGGACAAGCCGGTCAACCTGGCCAACCAAGTCAGCCAGGACAACCCGGTCAACCTGGTCAACCAGGTCAACAAGGTCAGCCAGGTCAAGGGCAACCAGGACAACCCGGTCAACCTGGCCAACCAGGACAACCCGGTCAACCAAGTCAGCCAGGACAACCCGGAACACCAGGGCAACCAGCTCCAGGCCAAGCTAACCCAATCAGACATTGTCACACAGAAGGTTTTTTCCCTGATGAAAACAACTGTGCAAAGTTTTATCGTTGCGTAAAAGGAGAAAACGCTTTTCTGGTATATGAGTTTACATGCGGAGATAATACGGTGTGGGATCAGGCCTCGCAATCTTGCAATCATCCTTGGGCGGTGTATGGAAAATGCGGTACGGCATCTGAACCAAATCAAGGTGGACAACAGGGGCAACCAGGTCAACCTGGCCAACCAGGACAGCCTGGACAACCGAGTCAATCAGGCCAGCCCGGTCACCCTGATCAACAGAGTCAATCAGGCCAGCCCGGTCACCCTGGCCAACCCGGTCAAGGTCATCCAGGACAACCCGGCGAACCGGGTCAAGCAGGACAGCACGGTCAACCTGGCCAACCAGGTCAACAAGGTCAACCAGGACAACCCAGCCAATCTGAGCAACCAGGACAATCCGGCCAATCTGGGCAACCAGGTGAGTCAGGACAACCCGGTCAACCAGGACAGCAAGGCCAGCCTGGGCACCCCAGTCAGCCTAATCAACAAGGCCAACCAGGACAACACGGCCAAACAGGGCAAACTGTGCATGGAGAAAATTGCAATCATGGAATAGAATTCAACGAAAATGGATACCCAATTAAGTGCACTCAAGCAGGATTTTATCCTCATCCTTCTGATTGTAAAATCTTTTATCGGTGCGTGGATTGGGATGATAATCAAAGAAAGCGGTTTTCAATTTACAAGTTTATGTGTCCTCCAGGAACTATCTTTGATCCATCTTTAAATGTATGTAACCATGAAAATTCAGTTTACCCCGCAAGAGTTTGTAAGACACAAAATAACTCTTCGGAAGCAGAGCAGGTAATGATTGCTTATGCTTGTGTGTGTTGTAGCTGCTATTTTGCTTGTAGAACGCCAGTGTTTCTTCAGCGAGCAGCAATTCTGATGTTTCCTCTACCAACTCTAGCATGATTCAATCGACAACACCTTGTCCGATCGGCCAATTGACTGGAGACCAAATTGTACTGATATGTCCAACGGGTTTCAAACGGCACCCTAAATATTGTGATTTATTTTATCAATGCACAATAAACAATTATACTTACGAAACGAAGGTGCTCGTGTTAAGCTGCCCTAATGGTACTATTTACGATGAATCCAAAACGCAGTGCCTTCCACCTGGCGAAGCCCAGACTTGTACAGCGGAGCTCACTGGTCGTCAATTCCTCAAGACTATTGACTCTAGTTTGCATTCTCCTGTAAGAAGTTCCGTTTTCATCAGACACAGTTTGCACTAATGTCTTTCAATTGCAGATTCCCGTTCCCAATAAAAGGTTATGCCCTTCTGAGGGTTATTTCGACCATACCGCGGACGAGTGCAGCCAAACGTTTATTAGATGCGATAAAGATCCGAACAATCTACATTTGCTACACGGTTACCTGCACCAATGTCCTGAAGGGTACATATACTGGTCAATCAGTAAACGATGCGAACGTATCTCAAACATGGAACAGTGTGATGTAATCAACCTGATGATGGAGAGAAAATGGCCGATTCCCGTTGATCTCGTGAATGTATCGCATGTGCGACGTAGGGGGGTTAATTGATGTAAATATTAGACTGAAATTTACTTTTTCGTCGAATTATTAAGTTCGGCGCAAAAGTTGAGATGGCGATATCAAAATTTTGGAAAAAAATTTTAATAACGCTACGGGGAGGTTGTGGTATTTATTTTTAATTTATTGTGAGAATATCCTTTAACTGAAAGATTGTTTTTAGTACCTCGTGTATGATATTTGTACATATTTTACGCCAATAAATGTATACGAACGATTAACTTACGACGCACCGACTTGTTTTATTTTATTTTTTATGCGGCAGGTGTTTCGGCCGAGGCTTCTGTACCAACCCAACGCACTATAGACTATACCTACATTTACAAATATTTATGCCCGAATCCGGATTCTAACCAATGACCCACAGTCACAGTCGATCTTCCCATCCATTTAACCATCCATTAATCCATTAACTTTGGATGTTCTCTCCCAAATTGCCCAAAATTTGATTAATTTTGAAAGATATTTAAAATTTGGGAATCGCGAATTGAGCTGGAAGCCGAAACATCGAGAACCGTACCGTACCCCAAAAACGACCTGCGTTCCCGCCGGCGGCCCAAATAACAAGTTGTTCATGTACAACCCTAACGCTACATTTGGTCCTTCTAGCCGGATGAAAAAAAAGTTACACGAGCAAACTCATCGTTTATTAACCGATTTACAACCACCGTTGCATACTTCTGTCTCGACATTTCTAAGAATTAAGTATTTTTGTGTAAATCACAGGAATGGGTCGTTGAAACAATGCTGACGATAATTGTGATCTGCCATGTGGGTAAAAAAGGGCGTGTTGTTGACGTCTGAGATTGGTAATAACCTTCGGGACACCATGTATGTAAACTATTTTAGTTGTATGATCCAGACATGTAGGGTTTTTTTATCAAATGAAAAGTGAAAAATTTAGTTGCAACTTTCAGGTTGATGAAGATTGTCCTATAATTTTAGTTCGGTAATTGTTAATTGTTTAATTCTGTTTTTGTTGTTAGTCGTAAGATTAATTTTGAAGCGCGAAATTCGAAAAACATTCACCTAATCCCAAAGTCAAGTTACTTAAAAATTCGATCAGGACAGGTGTGTTGATAAAAGAGACCTTATCGCAAAAAATTAAGTGCTTTTTCAATAAACAATGCCATGTGCGAGATAACCGGCGCCGCTGGATTAACAATTTCGGTGAGATGCGTAAGTACGTACCTAAGTCTGTTTCGTCAAAGCTAGTTTCTGTAGGTATACTTAAAAGAGTCAGAATTATCGCTGATCAATACTGTTGGAAATAGATCAAAACGCGTATGTATCTTGTGGGATCAAGAGGTACTATGTTATGTTTATAGATTGTATTTTCTTGTAACGTCAAAGATAACAATGTTGTAATCTTGTAATGCTTGTGAGTAGACGCGTAGTGTTCCTGTTTTCCCACTTCACCAAATAGGTTAGCGCTCTATCTGCGAAGAATCACTGCAGAACTCATCGGAGACACAGTTGTGGTGATAAGTTCACTGATAACCAGAGTGCGCAGAAGTTATCCGTGAATCCGCAATTAATCATAAAAGATCCAAACGCGTTATCACTTTGTACTTACCTCATCTGGCAATAAGCTACTACAAGCACCAAATTTGTAATTTGGCGAAAATAAACTCATAATTTTGAAAAAAATCCTAGGGAGATCCAACAGAACGTACTGGGGGAACCCACCCCGAACCAAAATCGTATTATGTTTCTGCTGAGGTCAAATTTGGTTGTACTGGAGGTGCCCAATGACTATTTCGACAAACTTAAAGACATTGTTTTGGGTCGAAATTGAGAATGTGAAGAAATTTTCGGGCTGTAGGTACTTTTTCGAACCAGATTAGGCGGTTTTTGTGTGGTAGGTACATACCAAAATGCCGGCCTTCAAAAAAAGCCAACGGTTTATTGCGTGACTAAAACACATTGCATTCCTGCATTCCAGAGAAAGAATTTTCTAATATTCGTGGCGATAAGAACAAATAAATACTCCAGTGACAGTGTTAATTGCATATTCGATATGCTTTACGAGATTTCTTGATAACAACGCGAATAACTGCCACCGTCGTCATGCCTATATGTTTTGAAAACAATTTGACTTACACAATGTCAATGTTTTTAAACGGCGGCTATTGTCGAACAATTCCACTTAAAATATACAAACGCGAGCGTTCTGTTGACATAAGTAAATGTGCAATAATTGTGCAAAATCATGTTTAAATTGTAATCAATACCTACCTGTGTCTAATTAACTGTCAACATGTCGTCTAAATCGTGCGCGTCGACCGAAGAAAAGTTTCCGCTGCTGCTTCTGTTTCTGGAAGATGGCCAACGTTCCGCGAAGCAGCACAAAAGAATACTCTTCGACAAGGGACGGTACCAGGGAATTGCTTCTGGTGCAAATAATATCATGACGCACTGGTCAGGTAGTAGATTTTGTAATCTTTTTGGCTGTAGGTATATCGCTGCTCTGCTTAATTGCTATTTGTAGGTAGTTGGTAAACTTGGCAGTTGGCGATTTTAATTTTGGCATTGGCTTTGGTACGGTAATTTAGAAACCGTAGGTCACGGTTAGTTCTTTACATTCCGTTTTGTTAAACTACTGTCGCATCGGCACTAAGATCCACAGGTTTTGTACATCACCATGTCTCCTGGTTACCATGCATTTTTTACCCTAAGCATCAGGGTTAAAGACTTTGAAACTTGGTAAGGGTGAATCTTCCCATTACCACAACAGATCACAGCATCCAGAGGAAACCCCTGGTGATTTTAGAAGGGAATCAGTCTGGTTCTTCCGTCCCGTCCCGGCTAGAACAATTACCGGCCACTGACCTGTTGAAGCAGTTTCAGCCTTTCAGGTGTCAGTTATGTTGCAATCGGCCAACAGTCAGTTAGCACCAAGGGTAGTAAATTTAATAGGTTCATCTGCCATTTTGTTAGACGCCATCTGAGATCCTCCCGAAATTTTACTAGTCACTTCTAAATCCGCCATCTTGGATCCGCGTCATCAGTCATGTCATTGCTATAGAACATTTTTTATTTGCGTTGGGAATCGAACTTGCTATACCTGAAATTGAAGCTACGGACGCTTTGAAAGATTCTATAGTTAGAAGTCAATGAAAAAACAGGTGTGGGGCCCAAATACTAACTTATAATTCAATCTCCAAGACAGGCAAGGGGGCTCTATTACATTTGTAGGAGACATGCTCCATTTTAACCTGTAAATCTACTTCGGCGACCCAGGGTCTTATTAACCTATAATGAGGCCATGCTTACTCGCTCTAGCGGTGAGTCGTAAGGATGAAGGGTAGGCAACTGTAACTTACCTACAAGAGATATTTCAAATGGAGAATTTAAAATAGTGACCAATAAAATGGCGAACGGATCCAAGATTGCGCCCAAACAAAATGGCTGATTTAAAGACCAATAAAATGGCGGGCAGATCTAAAATTGCGACCAACAAAATGGCAGACTTAAGTGACTAATAAAATGGCGACCGATCCAAGATGGCGCCCAATAAAATGGCGGATTTAAAATAGTGACTAATAAAATGACAAAACGTTCAAAGATTCACTTCCTGCGGAAGAACATACATAGGTCATCTACTTGAATGTTTGACATTTTTTCGCGACCCCAAAAACACGACCACAAATGTGGAAGAAAACACCTTTTTCATGGAGCACCTACGACAAGGGGTCGTTCTCAAAGTGTGGGGTGCGCGTGAAAGGCGATGTCCGCAGAGCAAAACAGCAAGGAACAGACGCTTCTAGGGGTTGCCACATGCTGATAGAGGGGCACGCAGGATTCTAATGGCAAGGTTATAAACAACCTACTACTAATTTTTATCGGCTGACTGTAGATTTATTTACAGTTGATATTCCTTTAAAAGTAGCCATATGGATTTGTGTATTGTTTTCCCTTTGTCTAGTTTTAAATGACAAAAACTCTTCTGAAGGACGCCTAATTTTATGCAACCGAAATAACTTCTTAAAAGCTTTTGCTATCATATTAATTAATTGGAATACAATTGCTTTGGCTTCCGTATTTCTATTTTCGTTCGTGTACGATGTATTCAACTGAAGAAAACGTTGATATTGCCAAATGGTTTGGTATAGTGCTGGTAATAGTTTAAGGAGCGTAGGAGACTTATTTTCTGTGTTGATCCCTTTAAAATCAGTGGTTGTTTAAATGAGATCCGCATAAGACGCCGTTAAAAACCCTCAATTTTAACGCAAGATGTGAAACAATGTTTTAGTTTTTGTGGAAAAGAATCCCATAAGAAACTTAAGGGAAATAGCGTCCGCATTTAATATATCATTCAAATAACCTAAAACAATGCCATTTACTGACGTTTTTATAACAATCTAAAAGGACGGAGCAAAGTGCGCACGCATGTTATTTTGATTGCATTAAAATTAGGCGTCTTTTAGAGGGGTTTTTGCGAACCCTACGATACTTACAGGCCGGAGCGCTCGAAAAAGTCACGTGACCTTAGGAGTCAGTTCGGAACGCATTATAATACATTACGGCTTATGGAAAATCCGTGCGCGGCTCCACTATTTATTTTTTTACTCCGAATCCGTTTAACATAGAGCCACGAAATTTCAATGAGAACTGGTCAATGGTACAGACAATTAAATTATAGTGTTTGCTAATTTTTAGTAACAGTGGAAATAGTTAATTTTAAGGTTTCACGTCTTTGAAGATAAAACGACGATAGTAAATCCATGTTTTTCCATATTTTCACCGTCATATTTCTGTTTCTAGAAACGATATCATTATAATTCTTTCGGTGTCTTAAACTAGAATGATATTCGCCTCCATTTTGCGTATATACCTAATGCCTTATCTTGTATTAGTGTAGATTTAACAGGCCCTACAAAATCGCGCATTAATTGTCCGCGCAGAGCAAAATTAACCATGCGAGAAACTTTTTTATTGTTAGTACAATTGTATCACATATATCGAATGAATTGTGACCAAAGGACACAAAAATGTTTTTCAGAAGGAATTTTTAAGAAATGGTCTTTTGTTTCCTTTTTTCAGCAGTTTTAGTAACTTCTGGAACACGCGAAGGCGCAATGGAAATTATTAGTTTTTAAATAATTATTACTAATCGACTTTCAAATAATGTTTGTAATGTTTAGAGAACCATTCAACTCACAAAATTGAAAATATTATATACAGGGTTAGTCAAAAGTATGGAATATATCTTATCTTCGTTAATATTAGTTTTACATTATAGCGTCCAGAAAATTCGTGTTTAGAACAATTCGCTCCGGTAGAATTATTTAACAGAGTGTGAGTTTGTCTAATAATTTTTCAAGCTTATTCCCTAGGAGGTGGCTGGTGTAGAATGTTTTAAATATTATGCACATTCGCTCGGAAGTCACTGCAGAAGTGTTATATGCACCATTTGTGGTAATTTATTCATATTTTTGTTATTTATCTGGCTGTCTGACAAGAATCTTCTGTGCATGTCTCACCGTCTACAAGAGATCATAGTCGGTGCTGAATAACCAGGGTCCGTTAACTTGGCCCCCCCCCCCCACTGAGAGATTTGATAGTCGTATTATTTTTAAATGAACGCGCTCAATTGCGCCACTTGAATTAAAGCTAGCGCCATTACGGTTAAGCCGTGACAAATTTTCAAAAAGCGGGGGGGGAGCAACTTAACTTTTTTAAAAGTTACTTTTTTTAACATCTTTTCATACGCAATTGGCTACCGGTATTTGTGCCACTTGATACATCTGGTTATGCGCTCAATTGCGCCACTTGAATTAAATCTAGCGCAATTACGGTTAAGCCATAAAAATTTCTAAAAAGTGGAGGGTCTAACTTAGCATTATCAAAAGTTACGTTTTTTACATGTTTTTTCTGCTACATCGTATCTTTCATCATGCGCTAAAATGAAATGAAATTAGCAGAGTCATTTTTACAACGTTTTGAACTGGTACACTTTGAGCACTAACGTTTATATTGGCGGCACTAACGAGCACTAATACTTACCGGTCGATTAAAGTAGAAAATCAATCGGATTTCGTTCGTTTGTCTACTGGCGTAAAGTTGGCAGGTCCCAATAAGTCAAGTTTAATTTTGAGGTGGTTTGGTACCTTTTTGACGCGGATCCCTTGCAGCACTAACGGTCGCATGGGAAGCACTAACGAGCACTAACGAACAGCTTCAAATTCGCATTAGGACAGAGCCAATTTGACAAATGTGGGTCTGCTGCATGAAGTTATCAGACCCCTTTTTACAACGTTTTGAGCTTTTACACTTTAAGCACTAACGTTTATATTAGCGGCACTAACGAGCACTAACGCTGCTAGTTTAACTAGTGTAAAGATTGAATCGATTTTCTTAAATGGGTCTGCTGGCATGAAGTTAGCAGGCCCCCAATTATTATGTAAAAATAGTAAGTTTCCTTTTGTGCACTAACGATTTCTTCAGCGGCAGTAACGTGCACTAACGGAACACTAACGATATGAGTAATCAGAACCGTGGTCTGCTGTAGTAGGCCTGCCAAGTTCATGGACATATGACGCACTATATATCGAAACACCTCGAGAGTCCTGGTAAAACGGGTGACCACGTTTCCTTTTCTTGCACGTGCTTATTAAATTGTTAGATAATAAGAGTAAGTCTTTTTTCGTTTCAGGGCATGTAGCATCAGGATGGATCACGGCAATGCTAATCGGAATCGGTCTCTTCGCAATAGCAATTCTTATGATCACCTTCAGTATCCACCCTGTTATTGAAAATTTGACAGCGAAATGCGAAAGACAGTACCGAGAAATTAAAAACGACTCATCAATAATACATCTTGTGCACGGGCCAAATCGTTGGACGCCAGCGCAATTAGAGGCTTTGGATCAGATCGCAAAAAATTCCCAACAATTTCAAATTGAGCTGATACTCATTCGCCCTGAGATTGACCCTCCTTCAAACATAGTGAAAAGAGACGTAATGAAGGCTCGCAACGTCACATACCCAAAACACGAATCGACGAGCTCGCCAAGAGCACTCGTAAAGAAAGTCATTTCGTCAACGGCCCGCGAGGTCGTAAACCCCAAACTGAAGGTATACGAGAAACCAAGAAAAGCTTTAGAACCCAGCTTTAATATGGCTAAGAAGAATCTTCTGGCAATGCTCGGAATGAAAAAACGTTCCAAAAAAACTACTTCGAAACCTGTAGTACTACAGCGGAAAGCGCGCACTCTCGAAGACATAATCGACGCTTACCCAAACATTCTAGTAATTACCACAACATTTGAAAAAGTTTTCAGCCACACACCCCTATATTTTACATGGCAAAACACGAATTTAGAAACACGACTGTTCGCAATTAGGGTGTTGCAGTTGTGGAACTTCGCAGGAATTTCCCTAACTTTACCCTCCGACCTTCACTCGCCTCCAAAGGCGGGTAATACGGTTACAATCACGAGGAAGGCACTCCTAGAAGATTTACCGTCGGGCTTAGTTACGGTCGACGATGAAGGTTCGCACATGCAAACTAAAAGTACGTGTCACGCGTTTTTTGGGGAATTACTGATGGTGCTCGCCAAAGCAACGCCGGCGACCAAACCGGCCGATGTGATTCGAAAGACATTGCACAAATTTTGTTTGAAAGGGGCTGTAGATGGTAATTATTGTGATACAATAACTAAATAAAAACAGTGCGCTTTACAACCTGTACCTAGTATTTATTATACTTTATTTTTTATAAATACATTCTATAATTTAGACTTTGTCGCATTTTTTCAGAGAGGTCCTGCATCACCATCCCGGGAATATTGGCTGCGCCATACACGGCTCAGGTTGAGCGGATCAGGCTATTCCTTGTATGTTATTCGTCAAGACGTCGCTGAATGCATCCTCCACCTCGATATGTACGGTTGTACGAGTCTGTAACATCTGAATCCAAGTCCAGTCCAGAATGCTCTTAATAAACGGTAACGGATACGCGTCCTTCACAACGTTGCAAAAGTCAATATAGGGCTATCTACAATGGCAAACGGTCACTAAGGGCCGGTTGCACAAAGGTAGTTTAAACCTCGTTTAGATTAACGCATTGGATTAAGACATATGATTAGTTGCAATTTGAAAAAACGTCAAATTTCAACCAATCTTACGCCGTAATCCACTGATTAATTCCAAGCGAAGTTTAAACTGCGTTTGTGCAACCGGCCCTAAGCCACCAAAACATACCTGTCCAGCTAAAGATCAAAAGCCAAAGAAAACTTTAAATTTAGAATCTTATTATTTATTTTCTTGTACACGTCAGGGATCCGCTAAAATGGAAAATCTCAATGCTGACTTAATTTTAACTCAAATGGGAAATTCAGCGGCCTCAACAGTCCCAACAGAAAAATTATCAGAAAAACTCTAATCTGGATCGCACTTTGGGTTCGATTAAACACAACCTATTTGATTGACAAAGATAAAAATTTATTCGGTAAGACATAAAAAAATTAAACACATTGAAAGAAAGATAGGCTTTCAGAGCCCGATTTACACACGCCACGTATGTAAGCGATCGATAGACAATTAATTAAAAATATCTTAATTACTGCAGTTCAAATTCACTTCGTTTCTATTACACTTAATCTTCCTAACACGAACTGGCTTTGTTGAATTTGATGATTCAACTTGTGGCTTCTCGAATGGTCTAAAGAAAAATCTTAACTTTAGCGAATACTTGGAGAACGTTGTAAAAAGGCCTCACTATGCACTGAACGACTTGATTGACACAGACTCAAACGCTTAAATTATATTGCTGACCTTTATCATTCGAACACATAAAAAATAAGTGCAAAGTCCCACGTTGGGCGTGCAAAATTAATGCTGTGTGTAGACAAAACACCATTCCACTAGCTAGCTTACAATTACCATTTTTTTTTAAATTAAACTCAGGGCACGGATGGGTCTCGGCACACATAAAAATATTGACGTTGACTTTTGAATGCCGCAAACAGATTCTGTAAATTCTAACGGAAACGCTACATAAAATTTTGAAACAGCCACTCGGGTACAACAAACTTAAAGGAAAAATCTAATGATCTTACGTTGGAATTAAAATTGACACAATTCAATGGCAACCGAAGATTACAAACATTTATTCTTATACAACAGAAACACAACTAGAGCATCCTGCAATAAAAATTCTAAGACGACATACGACCTTTTTGTACACAACCCGTTCACAGAACGGACATATCAAAAGAAAACAAAACAATTCAAGAGATCTCAAGAAATGAAAAGTGAGTATTCACAGAAGTTCAAACAATATCCAAATTAAAGTGATCTGTCCAAGATGAAACACTTTCACATTGCAGCTTTTACAAATTCAATTCGTAAAGAGCAGCTTCTTCTACAACCTCGTAGTACGTACGCGAAGTGTACCGGGTGACCCAATAAGACTGTTCCACGGCCATATCTTGGGAACCGTTCGTCGTATGACTTAGGGGTAAAAAAATATCGGTCATGAAGAATCGCTGGAAAATATTTTCAAGTTCTAAAAATGACCACCAGAGGGCGTAACTACCATCTTAAATTCTAAAATTGCATTTTCTTTAAATTTCGCATAATGAAGTAAACATTCTTTTTTCACATTTTTAAAGAGAACCAGTTTATCTATCATTTTCGTAAAAACAAAATTTTAAAAACAAAGATGGTGTGGGGCGTTCAATTGTTTTTGCAATCACCTGCTTTAACTTCTTAACCGTTGGACTGATTGTAACATGTAAAAGAGCATTCCTTGGGCAACAAGAATCAACCAAAATATAGTTAATTTAGTTGAATCCTTCTCCGCCAGGGGGCTAGTTTTGACACTATAATCCAAAATCCTAAAAAAATAAAAGAATAAAAATGCTTAAATTGTATCTTATTTGACGTATTTCCGGTATTTGTCGATGGCGTGAAAGAAAAGCACCCTCTACACTTTTAGGTAGGCATTAGAAAATTAAACAAATGAAACATGATGCATTATAAAATAATGGCCAAATAGGCTACTTTTTTATAAAGAAAAAGTCATATCATTCCATTTGATTTTTTTGATTTTTTTAGGATTTTGGGTCATATTGTCAAAAATAGCCCCAAGGAATGCTCTTTTCAACAATACCAAATTTGTTAAAATCGGTCAAACGGAAGTTAAAGCAGATTTATTACAAAAACAATTAAACGCCCCACACCATCTTTGTTTTTGAAATAACTTTTTTTTTGTTTTTACGAAAATGATAGATATACTGGTTCTCTTTAAAAATGTGAAAAAAGGTTATTATAGGAAATTTAAAGAAAATGCAATTTTAAAATTTAAGATGGCAGTTACGCCCTCTGTTGGTCATTTTTAGAACTTGAAAATATTTTCCAGCGATTCTTCATGACCGATTTACCCAATAATTTTTGTTACCCCTAAGTCATATGACGAACAGTTCTCGAGATATGGCCGAGGAACAGTCTTATTGGGTCACCCGGTACATTATCAATTAATTGACGTTTGTAATTTAAAGGTTGACAGTCTCAAATCGTGTCTCATCGGACAACTTCGGACAGACTTTTTTTACCCTGAAACTCGCATACACCCAGGCGACGTCATTGCCCATATTTGACTTGCAATTAGCAGTCCATGGTCTAAGATAACATTTCACTTAAAAATGACGTACGTACTCTTTCAAAATAACCCCACCAACAGCGTACTTACAGGCCGCGCGCTATACCATAACGAGCGCGCAGTGAACGAGTTTGCGCGGTTTGAGGTCGATTCGTATTTTACGGAACGTCAACGTCACGTCACTGACCGGTAACGTCACGTCAAAATATTGTATCTAAACTTATCTCGACGGTTCGTGACGCTGACAGTGCCCTCCGTTACGTCTCTATGTGAGTGTTATCATAAGAAATATAAAGCGTTTTCGAAAATTGAACCGGTTTAACCAGGTTGGTAAAAATTACCATGGAAACAATTGTGGCAATAATGGTTACCATAGCAACATCTACCAACTCCCTAAACCGGTTGAATTTTCGAAAACAGATTTAAGTTACGCAATTGAACTATACTGGCATTCATTATAAGAAGGTAGTAGATGGCGCTGTGTTTGAAGATAAACACACACAAGAAAAATATAAAACGGCACCAAATTATTGTAGAAATATTCAGCACTGCGAACAGAAATAAATCTTTGACAATAACAACCAATGACACTTCGGCAGTTACTACCACCTTACAAAATTCACCAGTCGTTTTATGTTTCATTGTAATACTGACTCGTGTTTTAACCAATCACAGTGAAGGTCAAAGCCTCCCTATGCTTTCTACCGCTACCTTCTTAAAATGAATACAGTATAGGAATCTCAATCCATAAGTGTTCCCGACAGTTGCCGATGCTATATTCGGTCTGCGCCGTTATTCTCCACGATATATAGCGCGCGTCCTGGATCTTGCTCACTTATTTAAGCATTCACCACCTATACTTCATTATCCGCATCGTTGTTGATCCCCATATGCGTACGATTATCATGCAGGTGTTATTTTATCACGCCCAACCAATTAATTCGTCCGATAACGGCTTGTATGGACATAGGTATTTGTCCAGATAAAAATTCTTTCTTGCGTCGATTTCAAATAAAATGAAGGGTGAAGGGTATTATTATTTTTTTTTTCACCCTTCATTAGAGACCTATTAACGAAATGGAGTCATTCATCAAGCATATTCAAATAAAATGTTTCCTTATTTATGCGTTCCCTGAATTTCTGACGCTCATTAAATACAATAACAACCCTGACTTACACAAATTCTAAATTTACAATACAAAAAAACTAGCATTACAATGATCATTAAATAAACTCAGCAAATTCTGTGTCCATTTGACAGAGTTTCCCTCAGGCCGTAGCCAAATAAATTAAAACATTGTGCAAGATGTCCCGCCTGAAACCTCTAATGGGCTCGTTCATAAGACACAACAGTTACCGATACGCTACGAGGTAGCGTATCGGTAACAGTTGGGGTCTTATGTCACGTTCCCTACTTTGACATATGTAGCGCTACTAAAAATGGCCAACTGCTCCGTAAAGAGCGTAAAAGTAGCGACATAATTATAAGACGTATCAGTAACTGTTCCACAACAGTTGTGTCTTATTAAATTACGTTTACAGCACGTAAATTTTCAACTGCTGATTGGCTCGCTCCCATCGTCGGCATTATTTCAACATATAGAAACGGGCAGTTTAAACAACAATATCTTTGGCGAGCAGACCGCATGTCTCTTAGTTAAATTACTGCTTGCAAAACAGGTTTTGTGGTCGGTAACGTTGTTTAATCAGAGTCGGATTTCCTGTTGGATTACGTCTATGCATCCTATCAAGCGGTCAAAATGTGCCTACTCGGTAACAGCAAAGTCTTAGGTAATAGGCCAACGGAGCAACCAGGGACACAGAGTAGGTACGGCTCGGTATAATATTTTTCGTTCTCGAAACCAGCACACTGCCAAAGAAGATATTGCCACTTTTCATGATTAAGTATCTGTGCGGGATAGAAAGTCCCTTCTCAGGAGTACGCCATATACCAAATCGGGAAGAAAATGTACCTACTCTATATTTATGCTTTATCAGACGAGGACACCTGGCGACGCCACCGCCTTGTGCTCCAGACTGCTACCGCAACCGCACCTGTCAACGTTTTTGGGTCACCGTTTTGTATATTTTCTTTGTGACGGATATGCCCCGTGGGAGGAGCACAGTGAAGTTTTTTGAGAAACGTGAACCCAGTCAGGAGATCTGCGTAAAGGCGGCTATGTCTCCATATTTCGTAACAGTACACAACAACCCGTCCGAGTGAAGGGAAACCTTACCTACAGTATGTCCTATACTACCAATTAAGAAATTTTAATTGTCATCTTCCGACATTCATATGGACAAACATACAAAAAATGGCCAGCCAATTGTAAATCAATACAATGGACGAGATCAAGAATCGCTTCTCAAAGTCGATCCCTTCCTTAAACAGTTGTATGGTAACCACTGTCATATCTCCGGCGATTACAAGAGCGTATAATGCCAGCCATGGCAAAAATAAGTACGGATTTCTCTGAAAATGAAATAAATTAATATTTGTGTGATTAGACGAACACTACCATTGTAGAGCCAGCGACCAGTAGAGCGTAAGATTGAAAAGACAGAACCAAGTTAATTAATTTACAATCTCTTTCGTGTTCGGGCGTTAGGCATTTGATGTGGAGATCGATCTTCCCACGATAGAACGAGCAAGGTAACGTTCGACCGCCTTGCACTATCTTCAACATATCGTACAAACACACTCCCTAAAAACGGCCGATACAATGCTAAATCCTGATCGTGAAAGGCAACTTAAACCATGCCCAACAGTCCAACAAATGCTCCATACATATTACATAAATCTAACAAGGGAAAATGACAGGCTTTTTTCAAAGCGCTTTGATCTCTTCTAAGCGACGCAGCCAAAAATTGGAATGGGTTCGGAAATCTGGAACTTCTACACATTTTAAATTTGAAAGAGAACATTTTCGGAAATATTATATCAATCAATTTTGCAAAAAAAAATACAATCAATTGTTATGTCAAAATTTTGAGACGGTGTAACAGTCAGTTTTCGATCCAAAATGAATTGCTATGAAAATAAGACTGCGGATAACAGTCCTGTGCTAGAAAAACCTGCGAAAAAAGGTAGTCTCTATGGCGGGCTTAAATTTATGTGTCTATGGTTAGTTTCTTCTCTAATTACAACTGCGTATACCAACACAAGTACTAGAATATCAGGTAAGGGTGAACTATATTCGATAGTGGTTGGTAATTATCGTTGTATTTCAGCATTATGGCTGATTTTTAACACAAGCGATACGTTTTTGATGCTATTATCCACTATGCTGTTGGGGTACGGTTTGAACACTGTAAGTTATTTTTTGCCTTAGTACTTTTTATTTCGTGTAATCGTCTAGGAGAATCCATATGTGGTACTTCCATGGATCGCTGTATCTGGTTGGAATATGTATCATTTAGAACTGAACGGGTTTTTAAACTTCTACAATATCTTTACTAAAGCAAAATATGCTTCGAGACTGGGATCGCTAACATGTGGAATCATGTTTTTAACAATAGGTATGTTTTTCTGATAATTACTATCAGTACATATCACTTGCTGTCCATGGCCCGTATGAATAAAAGTAAGCAAATGCTTATACTTGCAAAATTCAAAGTAAATACTCGTAACTGCCCCTTCATACTGGTCTATTTAGCATGGTTTAGCAGCGCTGCACTGCGTCCTGTCCTTCTGCTTAGCAGCGCTGCTAAGTCGCCCAGTGCGAAGGAGCACTTACGAGTATTTACTTTGAATTTTGCAAGTATAAGCATTTGATTACTTTTATTCATACTTCACCATGTATGTATTCGAAGTAGGCCAACGATAGCTCTTCAATGCACTCTATTCTGCTCGTATGATACACTAAATTTCGAAATTAAATTGAGAGATTTAGGGCCAATCTTTTCATCTCCCCATAAACTTATTTGGTAAATAAGTACCTTGACAACGATTGGATCAACAATGGAATTTATTCGGAAAATAAACCCAATTCACATTATCGACCACGTCACGGTCAGGTCAATGAATTATTGCAGCGTGTATTCCTGAAGGCCCATTCGCATTTAGGTTACGGTCAGAGCATGTTCATAAGCAATACACGCTACAGTAATTGACCGCACCGTGACGTGGCCGATAATGTAAATCGGGCTTAAAGTTATTGTGAAGTAGAAAGAGTAAGCTTTGATAAAACACCTAAAAATACGAGCCCCTACGGACCTGTGTGACATCCTACGTCAACGTTGAACATTAGTCTGCTCAAATGTAGAAATAGTAAAATATAAAATTTAAAAAAATTCTACGTCGACTGGGAATCGAACCCGGGCCGCCCGCGTGGCTACAACAATTAGACGAACGACGACGACGACGGCTAGCATCTTACACGACGATACTGTATCTGTCGTCAGAATTCGTGTCCAATACGCTTCTCGAGAACAGGCATTCTAAACTGCTCTTGCGCAGTGAGGTACTTTTCCGGTGAAGCGTTTTGAGTGAAATGAAAAAGTATCCTCACTCCATATGGACCAATAGACCATTAGTCCACCAAAGTTGTAAAATCTCCGGGCGACTGGCACTAGCAAGAGAGCGAAATTAAGTCGCCGATACTGTGTACGTGCGTGAATCCGAGGATACAGTCGCCGTAGCACTCTTTGCACGGCATAACTTAACACAGAAGGAAACCAATTAATAGATGGTGCCTTTAGTAATTATTATTCCATAAGAAGTCTTTAACAGCACCGTTAAAGGCAAAGTAGTGAATTCATCTACCTACCGCGAGTGGTCTTCAAACCGGTTTGAACATCTTACCGCTAGTACCAGTGAAACACCCGAGTGAAAAGGAACTCCCACGAACCGAAGAGGCACGAAGTAGCGGTAAGGTGTTGTTTTCAGAGCAGGATATCCCTCGAAGGGGTAACCGCCATCAAACCCGCTACAGCCGCCACCAGATCGATAAACTCTACCGACGTGGACGCCCACCCCCTCACCAGCACCTACAGCGCAGTCATTTAAGGTACCAGTCCTCAACCCACCAGCGCCGCCACCACCGAAAATCCAGCCGACGAAACGACGGACGATGAATAAGAACTCCGCCGACACGTCTGATATGCACACCGGTAACGAAACTGCCGCCAAAATTGCCAAATAGGAAAGGAAGCTCGCATCGCTGCCGACAGCCCGGACGAATTCTGCGTAATCCAAGATTTCGTACGGAAAAATCAGGTCGAGTTCCACACCTACGCACTGCCATCTGAGAAAGAGCTGAAAGTTGCAATTAGAGAATTAGCAACCTCCAAGAAAGAGAATCTATTAATCGGTCTTGAGCCGTCGCAAAGATCACGTCAAAATAGTGATTTTTTAGATTCGCGTTGGAGCTTCTGTGGGCTCAACTAAAAGACCCGTAACTAAAAGAATAGTGATAAATAATCGAATTCGGAAAATGATTAGTCACTTCGCGTACATTGTACAAAAACAGTGAAAAGAAGTGTAACCAACAGGCAGTGGGTTCGTATTTAGAACTTTGGATCAATTATGAAAGTACTAAGGAACTTTTCCCGACGGCGAATATGACGGGGAGAATTTTCCTGTGGGCGAATATTCCGCAGGTGAAATTAACTCCTCAAATCTTTACGAACATTCCATGTTTACGGATTATTGCATCCTCGCATCTAAAGAGCAGTAGAATGCGGAAGAATGCACCCGAATCGAGGAAATCTCTCGAGAAATTCAAACTTTCCGTCGAACTAAAAGAGAACACATCGCAGTGCACGTATTGTCAGTTACCAGAACAGATACAAGAAATCTGCCGAAAGCAAAAACGAGGCGAAGCTAACACCACCATTCAGGCGGCAACCGTTGCCTGCCGTCAAATCCGACCACACGGAACCCATTTATGCCTACTTAAGGCGAATCTGGAGTAATCCGTAGTTAGTGCCACAAAAGCAATCCTTCGTCTTCAACCACCGCCGTGACAGATGTGCGAATGTTCCTCGCAAGCCCCGTGTTCATTTATTTATTTATTTATTTTATTTACTAACAAAACGGGACTTGCCCTTTTACATTGTCAGCAGTCAACGGTTTTGGCTTTAACAACTTAAACAAACAAAAGTAACAAAACAACAATACTAAAAAAAAAAAAACAAATACCATATATGCAATATCAAAGATGTAACAAGACATTACGGACACTCGTTCAAGTTTCCTGGCTCGTGACCTATTAGATTTTATCATAATAATATGCAATAACTCCTTTTTTAAATAATGTTAAGTTTACATTAAATATATTAGAATTGGTCTGGTGAATATATGCATTGGTGGTTATGGCTACCCTTATCATTGGCGATTTTAAGTTGTGACCGGTTCGACACGTAGGCACATAAAATATACTTTTTGGTCTGGTTTTATGAGCTGGAACATACAGATTCACAAGTGATAGCAAATTAGGACAGTCAATTCTATTATTTATCAATTTGTATGTACATGAAACAAATATCAGCAACTTCTCTCCTATATTTTAACGGCATGATATGATTTTCCTCTCTAACTTCCCGATATTGATCATATTGGGGGTAAGTACCTCTTAAAATGTAGATATTTTAAGAATTTATTTTGAACTGTCTCTATTTTTTTTATGGATTTGTAGACCGGAATTCCAAACTCTACTGCCGTACTCTAATTTAGATCGTACCAGGGAGTTGTAGAGAATTTTTATGGAAACGATATTTTGAAATTCGGAGGTATTACGTATTAGAAACCCTAAATTTTTTAGTGCTGAATTAACAACGTTATTTATATGCTCGTCTCATTTTAAGGTAATTGTAAATTCTACTCCTAAATCCCTAATTACTTTTACAGTTTGCAGTTTTTGTTGGTGCATAGAGTAATCTGCTTCGGTATACCCCTTCTTCGCTGTAGTGTACGTCATGCTTTTGCATTTATTGATATTAAAGTAAAGTTTGTTTCTATTACTCCAAGCCACGACACTGTCAACATCAGTTTGAAGTAGTTGCACATCATCAACATTCTTAATTTCTTTAAATATCTTTAAATCATCTGCAAACATTAAACAGCGTGAGTATTTGATATTTAAAGGAAGGTCATTAATGAAAAGTAGAAACAGTAGCGGGCCCAAATTGCTTCCTTGGGGTACTCCTGATACAGCACGAAACGGATCAGACACCTTAGCATGTATACATACATATTGTAGTCTATTTTGCAGATATGACTTAAAGAATGTAAGTAAATTGAATGAAAATCCGAAATGTTCTAATTTTTTAATTAAAATTCCATGGTGAACTTTATCAAATGCTTTAACAAAGTCGGTATATATGACATCTACTTGTATACCTTTGTCTAGAGCATTTGCTACGTAATCCAGAAATGTTGCCAAATTAGTTTCGGTTGACCTATTTTCGGTGAATCCGTGTTGTTGTATACAGATAGAATTTTTAACCTTATTAAAAATGTGTTGATATACAATTTTTTCAAATATTTTAGCCGGTACTGAAAGGATTGATATTGGTCTATAGTTTTCAATTTGTTCTTTATTGCCGGACTTGTGAATAGGAGTTATTTTCGATAACTTCCACTGGTCAGGAAAGGTGTTTGTTCTTAATGCCATATTGTATAATACGGTAAGAGGATATTTAAAAAAATCACAACATGCTTTAAAGATGTATGGTGGTATCTGATCCGGCCCCGCTGATTTTTTTGGTTTTAGTTTGCGGAGTATTTCCCCAACTTGCTCCATTTCAATTTTATGGAGTGCTATTATGTTGACCGTATCCTGGCCCATATGCCAGAAAACACTCACATCCATATCGTATTGCGATTCATTTGTATACATTGAAGCAAAAAACCCTGCAAACTTTGAGGCTGCTAACTCTTGGGAATATTTTTGATCCCTATATTCATATCCCCGAACCTGTTGATTTTTTTTCCTTTTATTTTTGATACAATTCTAAAAACCGTTTATGTTCGTAGTTATTTCATTCTCAATAC